TAAAAAGAACTCGTCAAATGAAAATGTGCGAAACGTTGGCAGGCGAAAAAAAGGAGGAAAGAAAAAAAAATATACCCTCACGGAAAGCCAACATAAACACCTGGACAACACGTGGTTTCGCCTTTTTTTTGCCTACGCAATGTTCGCTTTGAAGTAACCAGAAATAACAGAAAGTAGAAAAAAGAGTTATTTGCCAATTGACGAAGCTCAAATACCCTTACATACAGCTACAAATGCAGTTTTGTTCGTTAAAGGAGAACTTTTGAAATTGAAAATTTAACTTCAATATGAGAGACTTGAGATTGAGATATAGATATAGATATAGATATGGATACAGATACAGATACAAATATACATATAGATATAGATATAGATACAGATACAAATATACATATAGATATAGATACAGATAGATATAGATATAGATACAGATACAAATATACATATAGATAAAGATACAGATAGATATAGATATAAATTTAGATATAGATATAGATACAGATATCTTAAAAAACAAAGAAGTTTTTAATAAAAAAAGAAAAACATTTTTTCGATATTTCGTATTATGGAAACTTTGGTCAATCTATCTAAAATATAAGTTCTTTGGCAGTTCCATGATAAAGTGCTCCAATCTGATCACTTATTAAATAGATACTGTTTGCTGGCAGATGCGAATATATCTGGAATATATGTTCCATCTCCTTCTGTGCGTTACACATTTGATCAGAAAACCAAAATGCCCCGGTTTAGGGTATAATAGAACAACAGAACTGAAGCAACCGCAACTACAATAAAAATGAAAAGAATACTTTATAATGCTGACCAGGCAGGAAGAGAGGGGCGGCCAACAACTCGATGTTCGTGATTCATTTAGTACCCCGGGGCATACGAGTTTTTACTCACACACACACATGTAGGTGTGTGTGTGTGTGTGTGTGTGTGTGTGTGTGTGTGTAGCGTGCAAAATGTACCGTTTGAAATATCAAAAGTTTTCCCAGCTTTCCATTATTTTACGTATGATTTCGTATATTTACGTAAACAATTTGAAAAAGCATTGAAAATATTGTACATAAAAGAAGAAAGAAACAAAAAAAAAAAACGATTAAACAGAGAAAAACCGAAAGAAACATGTGCAAAATGAATCCGATAATCACATAGATTAAATGAACACCTGAGTAAGCAATGCAACGCACTCTGAAATACACTTGATCGCAAATACTTTGCTGAATAATACAAAACACAATCGAAATATCTATCAACTAAAGTTGTTAACCGAACGAAAAGCTGTTGAAAAACATATCTAAACGGATTGTAAACTATTCTTTGTAAATATCAACATGGAAAATCTATATTGATTGATGTATATAGAAAGATTTGTCTCCTATGTTGATATTTACAGGAGATATACAGAAGATGTATAAAGTTAGATATATCTAGATAGATAGACAGATAGATAGATCTATAGATAGATAGCTATAGATAAATATATCTCCTGTGTTGATATTTACAGAAGATATAAATATAAAGATAGATAGATATACATAGGTAGATAAATAGATAGATAATATAGATAGATAAATAGATAGATAGATAGATTATATATCTCCTCCTTGCAAGAGATGTATAAATATAGATATATATAGATAGATAGATAGTTAGATAGATCTATAGATATGTTTAGATAGATAGATTTATCTCCTATGTTGATATTTATTGGAGATAAAGATAGAAAGATAGATAGACAGATAGACATAGATAGATAGATGGACATACATAGATAGATAGATAGATACAGATATATATATTTATAGATAGATAGATATGTTATTCACATTATATATCTTTTTCTTAATATATCTCCCAATCTAACTTAGAGAAATATCTAATCTTTTAAATAAATAAGTAACTATTTATCTATTTATTAGACGTTTTTATTTCCGTAACATTCAAAGATCGATAATTCCTATGTTTTGCTCAAATTAATTATAAATCAATATTAAATATTAATAAAACTATGTTATGGACAAACTTTCAGACCTTCTCATTTTTGAGCTCATCAGAAACCAAAAGTGAAGTTAATTTAAAGTCTGATCACAAAATCAAATGAAATAAAAAACAATCAACAACAAAAAGAGACTTGAATAAAACACACCTTGAATATGGATGGGCGAAGGGGCGGGAAGGGCGTGACACACATACATGAATAGAACAGGTGCACAGCTAGCCAAGGGGCCAATAGATAGATAAATAGATAGATGGTCTGGCTAAATGTTAAATGGATAGTTGTGTTATGCTTAGAATAATAAATAGTTGCGACGCGTGTGTGTATGTGTGTGTGTGTGTCGGGGGGATAAAGGCTATTATAGGAGAGAAAGAAGCTCCGATGGCCAAAACGGTGTGTAAACAATGCAGTATCGAGTATATATAGTATCGAGTATCGAGTATCGAGCAGGGCAGAGCAGACTCTACCGGATCGATGAGTTAATATAAACAAAAGTCCGCGGACAGCGCATGAAACCGGCTAAAAAGACGGGCCGCTTCTTACCTGGCCAGACCCTGTGGTAAAAATGGCCCAAAGCAAAAGCACGGAAAATATAGTCGATAGAAAAATCATCAGATTTAAACTGAAATACTAAAATGAACTTAATACATTTTGCTGTTGCTGTTGTTGTTGTTGCTGTTGTTGTTGGCTTTGGTATTTCTCTTTGCTGTTGCTTTTCTTTTTTGCAATTGTGTGGAAAATTGAAAATCAAATGAGCTCGCGGCGCATAGAAGAAGAAAATCATAGTGGGGAATGCGGACAGCAGGCACATAGGATGTTGGCAAAGGGGAAGAAGGTAAAGGGGCAGGGGTTATAGTCCGAGTCTCAGTACGAACCGAACCCAAGCACAAACAACAATATAAACTATAAAAAGCAACACAAAAATATCGAAGCACAAGTACACTTAACTAAAGGCCAAAAAGATAGACAAAGACAATGAGCGGGAGAGAGGGCGAGAGAGAGGGAGAGAGAGACAAAGAGAGAGTGACCGAGCGAGCGGGGCAAGACAAAGGGGGCGACGAGAAGATGGGCCTTACATTGTAAAAGAGAGAAAATAAAAAGCAAGCGAAACGAAAGAGTTCGCTCAATACATGTGTGTGCGAGTGTGTGTGTGTGTGTGTGTGCGAGTGTGTGTGTGTGTTATGCTATGTTCTATTATGTATCTATATGTATGTGTTTGTGTGTGTGTATGTTTGTGCTATGGCAAAAACCCAGCAGAACTTTTTGGGAAATATTATTTTTCAGAAAGAAAAAATAAATGGAAATTTTGTATGAAAATCTTGCGATTAGTGTACAAAATACTTAAACAATATGTTTCTAATTAGCGCTGATAATGTCTATAAAAAAAGAAAAGAAAAAAAAACACAACGAGAAAGTAAAATAATGCTCGGCGCACCGAAGATTTAATACCCTTGCTCGGCTGCTGATCATGGATAGGGAGCTGTCTCTCCTCTTATAATATTCGCTGCAGGGGTTTAAAAACAAGCAATGAAATTATTAAGACTATGAGTATTTTTAATGAAATAATGGTATGAAAATATAAAGAAAAAAAGGGAACATAGAAAAGGCTTTTCGACTGCAACTTTAACAAGACAAAAGGTTTATCTTTGGCAATGTTAAGATACTTTCAAAGTTTGATTGAGATATCTTGAAAGAGAGAAACATATTTCATACAAAAACATATTTTTTTAGGCCAATTCTTCCGTTGGAACCAGCTCAAGCTGATAAGATAAGATAATACACATGTTTAGAGCATGGCAAAACTTGTATATGACGCGTTTGATGAAGATTTCTTGAGCGATAAGAGAATATCTGAATGCGTTTCGAATCTGTGTTAAATTTGCGGACAAGTTTCTTATATAAGTGCCCAAATTTTTATCGATGAGTCCTATGCTAATGACATATTTTTTATTTTATTTTATTCTCCTTAGATTAAACTACATAAGTTAATTTTTGATGATGTCCTAAATAGGGGAAAAGGTTCTTCAAATAGGAGCTTTACTTAATTCAATGCCTCATATCAAAAACTAAGATTAAGGTCAATTTGTGACTTTAATTATTATTCTCGATTATATAAGATAACCTCGTTCTTGGAACTAATAAAACTTAATTCAATCCAATTTAGTAGTTTCACTTAGAACAGCTTCAAGAACTGCCCAATTATAAGTTAAACATTTTAAATGCTACAAAAATATCGAAACATTTCTGTTGAGGGAATACCTTTCTTGCGTATAGAAAACTGTAACTTGGTTTATAGAGAAATTATATAATAAAAAAATATTTGAAGTCGCAACAATAAAAAAAACACGACGAAAATCGATAAATTATATAATTAATTATATAAAGTTTAAATAGTACAATCATATTAATATATTAGATAATAATCCAAAGCGTTTGCTCCAACAAGTTGTAAGACATAAACATTAATAAATATTAAAATTGGATGTATATAGAAATCGTTAGCTCGACAGTTCGGACTATAATGTCCCAGAAAACGAAAGAAAGAACTAATTAAATAGTTTTTTTTTTAAATATACAAACTGTACTACGATTTTCAGTGCACTTGTCACGCTCAAAAGTTCTGCTGGGAGTTAAAAAATAAATAAATAAAACAAAATAACTGTACAAAATGTGTTGTTGGCTTCGGCATTGGGCAATTAGGGCGTTTGCCTGTGGATGGGACGGGGGGGGTAATTTGACCGCATACTATCAATTTTTCTTCTTTTTTTTTTTTTGTGTTTTGTTTTGTTATTGTCTGCAATTTCTGTTGCAGTTATTTACACTCACACACACACGGATAAAAGATGTATCGGCACATGGATACAAACATATATACGACATAGAGAGAGCTTAAAGATAGGTTTTGCCTGGTTAATATTAATTGTTATTGTATTTATTATTATAATTATTATTATTATTATTATTATTGTTGTTGTTCTTGTTGTTGTCGAGTACTTACCAAATGATTGAGCATGAACCGCTAAAAATATCGAGAGGAATGAAAGAGCGCTAGCCAAGAATTTTGCCTCCATCTTTGGTATTGATCCGTGTTGTTGTTGTTGTTGTTGCTGCTGCTGTTGTTGTAGTTGTTGTTGTTGTTGTTGTTGTTGTTGTGGTTGTTGTGGTTGTTGTTGTTGTTGTAGCGGTTGTCGTTTCAAATTGCTTGCATATTAGATTTGCATTAACTATTTGCTGATTGATTAATTATTTCTTTTCGGTTGCTTGTTTTTTTTTTTATTATTTTTTATTTGTATTTTTATTAATTTTACTTTATTTGTTTTATTTTTATTTTTGTTTTGTACTTTATGCTTAACTTACTAGATCATTATTAAGATTAATTTATGTGTAGCTTTATCTATACGATTTGAATTTGTTTTCATTAATTATGCTTAACATTAATTTGATATTAGTTGATGTTGTTGTTGTTGTTGTTGGTTGTTTGGTTGGTTATTTATTATTTATTTTATTTTATTTTATTTTTTTTTGTGTTTTGTTCTAACGATTCTTATCTTTCTCTTTATTTAACCAGCTCCAGCTTTTGTTCTTATTTCTTGTCGCTAATTTTGCATGATTTGGCAATAGAAAGAAAAGTATAGAAATATTATTTCAACAAACAATTTCATATTTATTGCGCTCGCTTTGTTTCTTTGTCAATTTTAGTTTATTTTTTTTTTCTTTCTCGTTCGTTCGGTTTGCTTTGATTCTTTTGCTTTTTGCACAAAATTTAAAAATACATAAATTCACAAAATAAAGCAAAGCAAAGCACATAGAAGAATGCCCGCGGCGTCTTCAAGTGCGTGCGTGAGGGGGAGACGGAGGGGGAGACGGAGACGGAGAAAGAGAAGCTAGCTCAAGGATGTGAAAAAGCAGCAGCGGCAACAAACCCAACGGGAATTCAACTAAATATAAATTTCTTTAAAATGTCCAATCATTGTCTCTCCCTCTCTCTCTGTCTCTCTCTCTCTTTATCTCTTGCGACGTCAGCGTCAGCGTTGGATGCTGCACACGTGCGAACAGCGCAGAGTTGCGAGGGGATGAGGGAGGGGAGACTGACAGCTGAACCTTTTGCTAATTTCTTATGTTTTTCGCGTTAAATCATTTTTGACATTATTCATTTACATGCGTAGCCAAATGCGCTCTCTCTCGCTCACACACACACAGACACACACAACAACACACATAACGCACGCACGCACGCAGTGAAACTGGGCGTCGAGGAATTTTTGGCTGGTAAACCGAAAATGAAATATGCCACATTGACGTCCATGCAAAATGCTCAACGCAAATGCACTCAAAAATGAGTACAAAACCTAAATAACGGCAACTGTCTGTATTTTTCTTGATATCTCATTAAAAATGTGCACAACATTTAACAACACTACTCGTACTACAACTATTAAATACAGCGCACTAACCAAAAGATTGGCAAAAAAACGGACACGGAACACAACAGAACGGAACGGCAACGTAAGCGCAAGCGTAAACGTAACGCAACGAAATCAGCGAGCAGACTGAACTAGCCGCTGTGCAGCGACCGAGCGAGTAGGCAAAAAGAGCACAGCAAAAAGGAAAAAAAAAAAATTTTATAACAGGCTGACGTTCGCTCGGCCAACGGTCGGCAGCGGCAGCGACGACGACGGCGACGACGACGGCGACAGCGACGTCGTCATGGCTGACTGATAAAAGTCGTACGGATTTGTTATTAGCTCATTGTTTTTGCTGTTGCTTACGAGATTGAAACACTTTTGACAGCAACGTTATCAGTAGCCGCAGCAGCAGCGGCAGCGGCAGCAACAACAATGACCGCAGCAGAATCAACGGCAGTTTGTTTACCTCGCAGCGACGTGTATGCGGCGGCATTCGCAGCGAACGTTTCCGTCAAAATTTATACGCATATTCCCATATACTCCACAATATTTATATATATATGTAATAATACCTATTATATACACGGACATTAAGATAAAGAGCTCATTGCAGTATTTTATACAAACATACAAGTCGGCGACAACGTAAAACGTTCACGTATCACAGCCATGGACAAAGAGGGAAGACAGAGAGAGAGAGAGAGGCAACTTGCTCGAGGGGGCAACATGATGAGCTGCCTGAAAGCGGATGGCAGCGGTTTCGACATGATTTTTAGCTGGGTAGCTGCTAAGCTAATTTCGTTGCGTTAAAAACAAAAGACGCGCACACTCATAAAGCAACGCACAGCACAAAACAACAACAACAACGGCGACGCGTCGTCATGTAAAATTCATTTTCATTTTCTAATTGCTGGTGAAAACTTGCAAAAGCACCTGAACGCGATAGGCCAGATATCGATTGGCAATCGAACTCGATATCGATTGGCGCGCCTAAATATCGAACTCGATATCGATTGTGTGCGTGTGTGTGTGTGTGCTTATAAGAGAACATAACACTTTTGTTTGATAAAGTTTTGCCATTTATTGGCAAAGTTCGGACCACTTGCGAGACAAATTGCCTTTTAGCGCAGCATAACGTCATCGGATAGCCATGACTCAGTGTCCCGGTCATACTTTATTTACTGTTCACACACACACACAGCTGGCTTACATTGGAAACACGAACACAAAAACAAGATTGACGCAGTCGATGATGTGATGCTGGGCCGCAAATTTGAGCAATTAACAAACGAGCGACAATCATAATTCCAAGCCATGTATATAAATATAGTATTTATTATGTCTAAGTCATCGCAACTAATTTGGTATTAATTTTGTAACAGACATCAGGTCACTCTATAAGGATACGAGATGCATATATATATGTATGCATATCAATATACATACATCAGTATATGCACAAGCTAATTGATTTGATTAAACTTGAAATGAATGAGAAGAACAAAAAAAAAACAATATTAATAACAATTTACGCGCCGCTTAGACACAAACACACAAACAGCGGCCGCATTGACTCCACGCTCAGCTCTAAAGTTAACACAAATGACTTTATAGTGTGCGTGCGGGCATGTGTACGTGTCAGGCTGGATGACGTGATTGTCTCTCAGAGTCCGCATATGATTAAAACGGAAAACAAGATAAAACTCGTTGGAGCAAAGGAGCAGCGCGTATTCTGCTTGTTGTTGTTGATGCGAGGCGTTCGACGAAGCAGGCAATGTTGGGGGCGGCAAAGGCAGCAAAATACGCATGACACTCCTTGCCGCTGCCGCACACACACACACACATATACACATACACAAGCAAAAGCACGCGACACACAGACACGAGGTCACTCACACACACACACACACACATATATGTATATAGTCCGAGCAGCCGCGCGTTCCCTGGTTGTCCTCACTCAATGGCAATTATTAGTTGATTTTTCCCAGCGACATCGGGCACAAATATTAATTTGTGCGCCCAGAGGAGTCAATATACTCAACAATTTCAAGTCACGAGATGGAAACACAGACACACACACACACACACACTCACACATACTATATCTAAATCGCATGTGTATGCGAGAAATGGCAAACGATGAGTATATTGAGCGCAAATATAGTAACGGGATTTTTGCTAGCTGCTCCCTCTTTTCTCCCATTTCTTTTTGGTTTCTTCTTCTTTTTAGCCGCGATGACGACAGCGTGCGCGACGGTAGCAAAAGCAGCAGCGGCGGCGCCTTCGCCTTGCGCTTTTCAATAACATTTACATTTACACTTTGTACTATTTATGTAATAGTTTTTTTTTTTTCAAACGCTGGCGAATTTCATGTAGCCCGTTGCAAACCGCTGCATTGCACCTGGCACGTATTTTCACCAAATTATGTATAATTCACTTTTTCGTTGGTTTTTTTTTTTTTTTTTTTGCAGCTGGGTTTTCATTCTTTTTTGTTTTACTACCAGAGCTCTGCACGCACACACATGCAAACGAGGCACGCACAAAAAACACACGCACACACAACACACTACGCGACACACTCAATGACGAAATTCTTCGGACAGCGTTGACAACTCTAGGTTCTAGCTCAAGCTCCTCCGCTTTCAACTGTATGTGTCTGTGTGTGCGTGCCTGCGTTTGTATGTGTGTGTGCGAGAATTCTGCTGCTGCTGCTGCTGCCTTTCGTCATAATTTTTGCGTTGGCATAGAATTTTAACTTTGCACGTGCTCACCGCACATTACTGTACACAAATTTGATTATTATTGCAATCGCACTTGTTTTAGCTGCATTATTATGAACTCTTTTGGAATTTACCTAGCACACAAAACACAAAAATTCGATTTTTTCCTCGCTGATATTTTCACGCGAATGACCTTACATCACACGCATACAATACACACACACACACGCGCCTGAAATTTTGGGCATTTATTGCCTGTCCAAGTTTGGTCTCACATTTTGCCCTTATAAAAATACTAAAAAAGTAAGTCGCTCTGGGAAACGATTATTAGCCAACACTGATTCAGTACATCGATAACTATGGACCGTTCACGATTGTTAATCAGCCGAGTTTAAAGAAGAGAAGACCGTTATTAATTAAAATTACCAACTGTTCTAAAATATTTTAGAATTTAGTTTTGCAAACTAGCAGCATAATCTTATACATTATGTATAAGAGGTGTGTCAAGTCAATATATCAATATGCGATCCATAACTTCTTTCGTTAACTTAAAATGTCATTTAACTAATCGACATGTTTTTCAAGATCGATATATCGAGGCCACTATCGGTGCGGATAACATGCGATAGTTAGGGGTGTGGTGCGATAACTTCATTTAGTTTCTAATTGCACGTCACTAACATAAGTCATCGCGTTGCGGGTTCGTGTGTGAGTGCGCTGTTGGTTTTGTGTTTCATTTATTTAAGTTAAAAGTTATATTTTTGTGTTGCTTCTGTTATTACGAATAATGTGCTCGATTTGCTGCACAGCGTGAGCACACAACTTGCATAATACAGGTGAGTACAGCTCGGATATTACAATGCCTGACAATAGCGACCCGCCCAAAATGTTTGCCTCAAATACCTGCGCTGCTGCTTGCGTTGTTATTATGCTACTGCTGCTGCTGTGCTTCTGATGTTGTTGTTGTTGTTGTTGCTGCTGCTGCTGCTCGCACATGGGCGTTGACCAAAAACCGAAAACCCAAAGCGCCAGCTCTGCAGTATTTGACTAGTTCATTTTATGCAGCCCATCATAAACATCTAAAACTAAATGTATTAAAATGGCCGCAGGCTTCTTTCTGCGCAAAAAAAAGGAACGCAACGTCTGCCGCCAGCCACCTGCTGCCCAATTGGAAATTTGAGTCGCACTCAAATTTCAGAGCCCCTGTTTTTTTTTGGTTTTTGCATTTTTGGTGTGTGCCCAGCTCCTGCACGCATTTCAATTGCACTTTTGCCCTGCCTTTAGGCATGGTTTTACACTAATTAATGCCACTTTACATGTGTGGCCACGTTTGTGTGTGTGTGTGTGTACAGCAGCAGCAGCAAAAGGGTGGATTACACTGTCCGTTGCTCTTGCAGCAACGTTGAGCTGAATTATTATTGCCGAGTTAGGTTCTTTTTTTTCTCTCGTTGTGTTTGTTTTTCACATCGGCCAGCGACTTCTGCTGCTTCACTGCGCAGACAACACACACTTGCACACACACACACACACACATGCATGCATGCATAGACAGGTAACCGACACTATCTTCTGTGTTGCGTGTTCTGTTATTTTGTTCGTTACCGGCAACTGCCTTTCAAATGTTCTCCCTCTCTTTTTGGTCACTGTCAGGCTTTTGGCCGAGGGTCAAGTGCGCCTTGTCTGCTGCTTACCTAATTGTCCTTGCTTCTCACCTTTTCTCGCCTGTTTTTTTATGGTTGCCTAAAATTGTCTTATTATTTTTTTTACCTAGGGCATTGTCCTTTCTTTTTCGGTGCAGGGGTATTTTACGATCGTGATAAGCTGATTTTCTTCTTATTATGTGCGTCACTTCGTCACTGTCAAAATTTGAGTGCTGTTAAATTTGCAGCTTTCGGCGGCCGCCATTTTTCTAGTTTCATAGAACTTTTTATTGTGAGCTGCAGGCACACTTATGATTAAATGTAACGGAACTGGCAACACTGCTGCGCCCATGTTTTAGTATTAATTAACAAGATGGCAACTCTCTTCCCGCGAATTGCACAATTTCCTTTAACGGCGCATTTTAAAATTCTGTGATCACGCTTGCTAGTTTAGTTTTTAGGCTTCTTTTCATTAGGGTGCATTTATCGGCTTGTTTATTGGACTTCTCGAACTTATTCTTGGGGATTTATGCCAACAAGCACGCATACTTAAGTGGGGCAGTCTGCACTTTGTCGCAGAATGTGTCGTAAATTATAGAGGCTTCTGTTTTTTTTTTTTTTTAGGCGTTGCCCAACTGTCGCCTTAAAACGCTTTGGCACATATCCCATATCAAAGACTAATTGCACGCCCACTTGAATGACATTTAACTTAAAATTTGACATAATTTAAATGCCGCATGTTGTGTGGCAGTGTGTGAGTCTAGTCAGCCGCCCAAATCCATGCCGTTT